TACTGTGAACCTAACCGACAATGAATCTGGACCAGACTTGGCATGCAAACCTGACATGCCTAACTTTGAATACTGGTGGGGTTAGAACAATACCAAATTATAGGAGTTGTAGTTTCCCACATCCTTATATATTTTTGAATGAGTCCATTCTTAAAATCCAAAACCCAACAATGAATACTTTTTATGGTTATCATTACAAATTACCTAACCCGGGTATCAATGGGTATTTAAACTAGTATATTTATAAAGTTGTAAATGTGAGGTTAGTGTGCTGCAAAGCAGTTCACATAAGGCTGTTCTCCATGAATTCTTGGAATTATTATTCTTAAACATGACAGCTTCTTAACAAGATCAGTTCTCTGGAAGCACAGAAATATCAGAGGTCTGCTTTTCATATTGTCTTTGTTTTGCTTTCTAGATAAACATTCAGATGGCTGTTTTAATCCCTAATGAGCTTAGATCCTAGATGCTGTTTTCCCCACATTGCCTTTTTCCAGTTTGTAGTGAAAATGTTTTCCCTTTCTGTTAACAGGTTTTGGAAGGCCACTCTGATTACATTAATGATTTGGTGTTTTCACCTAAAGATGGCCAACAAATTGCGAGTGTGAGCGATGACCACACTTGCAGGTATGCTTTTTGTATTAACCTAATGTAAATTCTAACTCTGTGTATGCCCATATGTATGGGGGGGAAGAGCACTTGAATAGTTATCATAATATATTTTCTAATGAGGTGTCTTTTATTCAGGAGTAAAGATTTTCCATAGGACAGTCTCTGGCTTAATTTAATTGTATTCTTTGTGTGTTATTTAATAAAGAAATAATGAACATACTAGCATTGCATAACTTGAAAACACAACCTTGAATGAGTTCTACATTTAGGCATCAGTACCTTATCTTCACAGACAGAAATGCTATAGTTGGCTTATAATTTCTGTCCAGTAACAATTTTCTCCCAGTCATAATGGTCATATACTAGGAAATGTAATAGTTCTAGCATTTTGTTAAATAACCGCCTGATGTCTTTTCTTGAGAGGGTTTCTGAGGACTTTTTGAACTATTTGTTTTTTAGATATTAAAATGGATACATGGTGTAAGAAATGAAAGAAACATAAATCCCAAGGGTATTTCAGTTTGCTATTCTTCTTTGCTTTTCCCATGGCATTCTCTGCCAAGACAGATTGTACTGGGAGTCATCCTGCACATCCAAAAACTGTTGGCAGTTCTTTAGGCAGTGCTTTCTGTTTCTTATTCTCGGCTCTTCACAATGTTTCGCCTCTTTTTTACCCCTCATTTTTTATTTCTTCAGTAGTAAAAGTAGGCAAGAACTCTTGATGAAATTACTACTGGTAATATAGACTGGTGGATCACCTGGTGGTGCAGCAGATTAAACTGCTGAGATGCTGAACTTGTTGACCGAAAGGTCAGCAATTCAAATCCGGGGAGCGGGGTAAACTCCCACTGTTAGCCCCAGCTTCTGCCAACCGAGCAGATGTTCATAGAACAATAGGTACAGCTTCTACAACAACCCAGTGATTCCAACCATGAAAGCCTTCGACAATAGCAAAAATAATGTTTCTATATTAGCAAAATCGCTGCTGAATCACAACATATGAATCTGCTGTTTTCTTGGTAAATAATAGTGCAGTTGTACCCATGTCTACTGGGAAATAAGTCCCATTGCACTGAAATAGTTTTACTCTCGAAAAGACTGCATTATATTGCAGTTTTAATCTCTTTCTGTCTAAAGATCTGTATATAGCTGGCATTCACTAATGTAGCTGTTATGCACTGTAATACTTTAATCTTAGCTAAAATCCTCCCTTACTAAAGAAGACGACATAAGGAGAATACTTGCTGATCCTTAGATTTGTAGTTTTTGATCATTTTGTTGAATTCAGATGTGTCCTGCAGATGTAGGTTCTTTTTCCAGTTTAGTCATTGCAAGGAGCTGGGTAATATTAAAAGGAAAAAATGCTCATTGTAGTTGAATGCATAGCTGAATAAAATCCCACATTATCTTTTTTGAACTGGAATACATGGCAGTGTGGATTCAGATAACCCAGTTCAAAGCAGATATTGTGGGATTTTCTGCCTTGATATTTTAGATTATATGGCTGTGTGGAAGGGCCTTAAGTTGATTATGCTCTTCTCTGAATGGGGAACAATTATATTGTATCCATGTTTGTCTTTTTCTATATTTTAGTTGTTATTAAAATCAAGTTTTCTGTAGTCGGGATTGAAAAGCGCCACTCTTGTCAAGCTATTCTCCCCTTACTTCTCTTTCTATCTGGCACTTGAATTGCAAGGCAGACCATTTGAAATCAATGGATGTTCATTTCCAGGAAGCATGTTGGGGTGCACAGTTCAATAAAATGAACAAGATGAAATGCATAGAGTAAATTTGTTTTTAGCTGTTGCTCTCAGAGCAAATCAATTCCTTCAAGTCCAAAAGTGGCACACTAAAACCTGGAACTTCAAGCCATGGCTGATACAGAATGAGAGACTCCCCCTGGGCACACAGAAGACTGGGCAACTTGGAAGATGCTTAGCAGACTGCGCTCTGGCACCACGAGATGCAGAGCCAACCTTAAGAAATGGGGCCACAAAGTGGAGTCCATGACATGCGAGTATGGAGAAGAGCAAACTACAGACGAGCTATTGCAATGCAGTCTGAGCCCTGCCACATGCACAATGGAGGACCTCCTTAGAGCAACACCAGAGGCACTCCAAGTGGCAAGCTACTGGTCAAATGACATTTACTATAATGCCAAAGTTTTTTAAACTTTGTGTTTTTTTTAATACATTACAAATGTATCCTCAGTTTGCTTCTGATATGATAAATAAATCAATTCCTTCATGTACTGGCTTGTCTTGATCCCCCACTTTAAAAACAAAGAAAAATGATTTAGAGGTTTTAAACTAATGCTTTTAGTAGAGGAATTGCCCATGCTTCTGAATCAAGCCATTTCCCAAAGACACATCTGCTGTGGATGGTCCATATAACATGAATTGTGGGTTTCTTTGATTTTAACAAGAAAAAAGGAAAGCAGTATTGCTGTCAGCATTTGTGGTTGCCTAGAAAACCAAGCTAAACACTAACAAGAAAGTACCTTTGTACAGAAGTGATTATAATAATATGATTATAACTGTATTTGTGTTTGCATTGGTTGCCCTAAGGCTGGAGCGGCCTAGCTGTGAGGAGTGTGTTACCATGGAAACGATGCTGCAGAGGAGTGGGAGGAGCTTAGAGAAGAGTGTTTTTGAAAAGCGACAGTTAAGAGTCAGTCAGGTTTTAGACTCAGAGAAGTAAAGAGTCAGGGTTTAGGCTCAGAGGAGTGAACAGTTATGTAGAGAGAAAGTGGGAAGTAGAGAAACAGTGTTCGTGAATAGTTAGAGATTTCTTCAGTTAGGAAAGCTGAAGGGGAAAACCTTATTAGTTTCTTTAGTTAGAAAGAACTAACAGAGGCTTGTTTAGATCACTAGTTAAAAGAACTAGAGATCTGGTGTTTGATCACAGGAAGGATCAAGCAGGGAGACTATTCACCACAGAAAACATTGTTTAATAAAGTGCTTCACCACAGCAAGAGTTTTATAAGTTGTAACATCGGAAGTCTGAACTGTATCGCAACCAAGTTACATGTAACGTTCTCCAAGTATTTGCCAAGCTTAACATCAAACTGCAACCATACGCTTTGTTACAAAATAAACTTGTTCTCTTTGGTTTTTAAAACTGCCTCATCTCCATTAATTCTACGTTCGGTGTACCCAATCTCCCAAAATTACCTCACAACACAAATAGGGTGGCATCCAGTGGTATTAATACCAAAGCCTTTTACAAATCGGTGGCGCCTCTCTCCTAAACCTAAGCACTTCCTAGCAATTTGGTGGCGGCTCTTTACAAATTGGTGATAGTAGCTTTACAACCTTCCACTTTATAAAATTTCTTCCCAAATTCAACTTGGAAGGGCATGACAGTGTTGACTAAATGTCTGGACCTGAGTATTCTGTTCACATAGCTTTATGCTGTTTATTGTGCAAACCTCTGCCCAGTGTTTTTATTGTTTCTTTCATTTTTAAAAAATCTTATGTGTTTTCTTTTCATTGAGGATTTCACTGACTTATAGTGGGTTTTTTTTCTCTGTTTGCCAGTTATCTGCCTCCTTCTCATCAAGAATTGTTTGTTTCAGAAGGAAATAATTAAGGAAAACAAATTATCTTCAGCTGTATTCTTTATCATCTGTAACTAGTTTACAGTGATAACTGATTGCAGCTTAGCTTTTTGACTTGAACTTCCCCAGATTTTGTGCACTTAAGACAAGGGGAAAATATTTGAGTGATTGCCCTGATTATTGACAGACAGAGATCAACTGGGAACTGCCTATCCTTCTTCCAGATTAAAGACAGTTCCACAATTGCTGATTTCTTTCATGGGTGGAGTAGGATATGGGTTCTGCGTGTGAAAGATTATGGAAATTTGCAGATGACACTAAACTGGAAGGAGCAGATAATACTTGAGCAGACAGAATCAAGATTCAAAATGACTTTAACCGATTAGAGAGCTGGGTCAAAATTAATAAAATGAGCTGCTGTAATAATAAATGTAAGATTACCATATTTTGTCAGGTAAAATATAGAATGGTGTAAAAAGGCAGTAGGCCGCTTAATAAATCACAAGCTAAATGTTTGTCAGCAGTCCGATTTAGCAACAGAGTCCAATGCAAATCTATTCTGCATAAACAGCATCTAGATCAGAACTTCTCAAACATTTCGTGTTGATGGCACACTTTTTAGACGTGCATCATTTTGCAACATTGTAATTCTGTTTTACACCAATCCCTTGTAAGAGACATGGACACATATATTATTTATTTATTTATTTATTTCTGCTACTTATACCCCGCCCTTCTCACCCCCGAGGGGGGACTCAGGGCGGCTTACAAAAAGAAGGCACAATTCGATGCCCTTATCCAAATACATACATATATAAAACAATTACAATAATTAAACAATTAACAGATTAAAAACATCAATATATAACACAATAGCACAACAATAAACAGTCTCATGGTCAGTGTTTCGAGTTCCATAGGTCCAATAGGTTTCGTCATTATTTGCCCATCATTATGGTCTTTCTTTTTAGCTGCCAGAGTTTCCAAAAGCCTGGTCCCACATCCAAGTTTTCAGCTTTTTCCTGAATGAGAGAAGGGAAGTCGCTGATCTGATCTCCCCGGGGAGTGAGTTCCACAGGTGGGGGGCCACCACCGAGAAGGCCCTGCTCCTCGTCCCCGCCAGCCTCACTTGTGATAGAGGCGGGGGCGAGAGCAGGGCCTCCCCAGAAGATCTTAGACTCCGAGGTGGGACGTAGAGGGAGATCCGTTCGGACAGATACTCTGGGCCGGAACCGTATAGGGTTTTGTAGGTCAAAACCAGCACTTGAATTGTGCTCGGAATTGGATCGGCAGCCAGTGGAGCTGGCATAACAGGGGGGTGGTATGCTCCCTGTATGCCGCTCCGGTGAGCAATCTGGCTGCCTCCCACTGGACTAGTTGGAGTTTCCGAGCAGTCTTCAAAGGCAACCCCACGTAGAGTGCGTTGCAGTAATCCAGTCGGGATGTGACAAGAGCATGGACCACCGTGGCCAGATCCGACTTCCCAAGGTACGGGCGCAGCTGGCGCACAAGTTTTAATTGTGCAAAAGCTTTCCCGGCCACCGCTGAGACCTGGGGCTCCAGGCTCAGCGATGAGTCCAGGATCACTCCCAAGCTGCGAACCTGCGTCTTCAGGGGGAGTGTAACCCCGTCTAACACAGGCTGTAACCCTATACCCTGTTCGGCCTTATGATTGACCAGTAGGACCTCTGTCTTGTCTGGATTCAATTTCAATTTGTTAGCTCTCATCCAGTCCGACACAGCAGCCAAGCACCGATTCAAGGTCTGGACAGCCTCCTTGGTGACAGGTGAGAAGGAGTGACAGATTTGGACATCATCTGCGTAGAGATAACATCTCATTCCGAAACTCCGAATGATCTCCCCCAGCGGCTTCATGTAGATGTTGAATAACATCGGGGACAGAATTGAACCCTGTGGGACTCCACACAACAACGGTTGTGGGGCCGAACAGGTGTCACCCAATAACACCTTCTGGGACCGACCCTCAAGGAAGGATCGGAGCCACCGCAGAGCAGTGCCCCCGAGCCCCATGTCCATGAGGCGTCCCAGAAGGATACCGTGATCGACGGTATCGAAGGCCGCTGAGAGGTCCAGCAGAACTAACAGGGACACACTCCCCCTGTCTAGTTCCCTGCGCAGATCATCTACCAAGGCGACCAAGGCTATCTCAGTTCCATGTCCCGGCCTAAAGCCAGACTGTGCCGGATCTAGATAATCAGTGTCTACCAGAAACCCCTGGAGTTGTGTTGCCACCACACGTTCCATGACTTTGCCCAAATAGGGGAGATTGGAAACTGGCCGATAGTTGTTGAATTGGGTGGGATCCAGTGATGGTTTCTTCTTTGTAATAGCAAAATGTAGGGAGAAACAGTCTCTTTTTTTTAATGGTGTCAGAAACGACTTGAGAAACAGCAAGTCACTTCTGTTGTGAGAGAATTGGCTGTCTGCAGGGCTGTTGCCCAGGGGATGCCATCCTATGGGAGGCTTCTCTCATGTTCCCATATGGGAAACTGGAACTGACAGACGGGGGCTCACCCCATTTTGTGGATTCGAACCACATACCTTCAGGTCATCAGTTCAGTCGGCACAAGGGTTTAACCCCTTGTGCCACCATGGCTCCTGCATATCTCATGAAAACCTTTAATTTATATTTTAAATATATAATTCCGTACATTTCCAAGATTTTTGTCAATTATGAGTAACAATGTGGAAATACGTGTAAGAATGTAAAAAATGTGTAACACTAATACAATAACTGCATGCAAGCTGCTATTACTTATTTCACATAGACTCAGAGGTTTATCACTATGTTCTCACACACATTTACACATTGCAGCCAGCACATTAAAGTATTGTGATACACAATTTGGAAAGCTCTGGTCTAAATCTGCTTTGGTCAAAACTTCCCTGGAGTACTGTTTCCAGTTCTGAGTATCACACTCTGAATATCTGATCACCATTTTGCAAAGCAGTTACTTTATTCTCATCTTTAAAATGGAATGTCGGTGGACAACAAAAAAGATTTAAATATGGGCTTAAAGCCAGCTTTTAAAATGTGTTTTTTGGTGTTGTTGTTGTTGTTTTGGTTGTGTCAGGAGTGACGAGAAACTGCAAGTAGCTTCTGTGGTATAAACACCAAGAAGTGGGAAATTCTGTCACTCGAGCATTGTAACTGGAGAACAGCTGTTACCAACAATGCTGTGGATTTTAAAGAGGCATGAATAGAGGGCAAGAGGAAGGCGAGTCAAGCAAACCCTTATCGGGACTGCCTTTCATCTGAAGATGTATGTCCGCAGTGTAAAAGACCATGTGGTTCCAGAATTTGTCTCTACAATCACTTTCGGAACCACCACCAAGACTCTACCCTTTGAAGACAATCATACTTGGCCACGAGTGATGGCCCATGATGATTTTCACACTCTAAAAAAGATATTTACACAGTGGAATATATCCCACCTACAGTTGCCAAGCTAATAAAGGATCTCAAAACCAGATCTATGAAGAACCATTAAAGATTGTTTGGGCTTTTGTTTTGTTTTTCATCTGGAGAAGATAAGATTGAGAGATGAAATGTTAGCTATCTTCAAATAATTGAAGGAATGTCAGGTAGAAGATGAAGTATGATTATTTTCTTCTTTTGAGGGTAAAACCCGAACCAATGGATTCAAAATATAAGACTGGAGAGTTTAGCTAAATATTGGAAAGAATTTCCAGATAGCATGAGAAAATTTATCACCATAGAACATGCTATTTTGGGATGTGGTAGACTCCTTTTTTTTTTTTTTTTGGATCTTTTAAAAATAGAGATTGTATGGCCATCTGTCAGGAGTGCCTTAATTGAGGATTCCTATACTAGTGAGGATTGGACTTGATGAGTCTTGTGGTGACTTCTAACACTACAACTCTGTGACTATCTGAAGACTTAGCACTTTGACTATTTTAAAATGTTTGAAGATATTTCTGTTTCTAAAGGAATAGTCATGTTCAAATGCGCAGTAAAAATAACCAATAATACCATGGGTTCGTATGGTTGCATAATACGTGATTGTGATGGAAGTTATAATACTACACCATATCCTAGTCAGCTTTGTCCAACATTCTTGTTCTTCATATCAATCTTTTAGCCATTTCTCTACATGTCCTTTATTGATTACACATAGATGTGTTTGGTTTTTCACATCTCCTTTTCTCTGATATTTGGGGCTATAATGCCCATAATCTCTTAATATTATTGTTGAGATTTTTGGGAACAAATGTGCAAAATCTCTGGAGGACAAAAGGTTTTCCCCTCTTTATGTACAATATGCACTGGCAAAGTTAGGTTGTGCAGAGTGGGGAAAAGATGGGGAGGTAGATAGAAAAGGGTGTTGGGCTCTATTTCTCGCCAAGGATATTTGTTACTGAGTGTGATCTTACTATGGTATTTCAACAAAACATAAAGCAGTTATGGGCTCTAAATCATAAATTTGGAGGAATAAATATAATTTTTGTCACTGTCTTTATCTCAGCTTTTTGGCCTTTGGGAAAGAAATGATATTTGGCCAAAATGATTCACCATTTTAAATTGTACTATGGTCCTTTCTCCACATAGTAAAAGCGTGCACACAGAAAATGTTGATTTGACTTGGAAAGATCTACAAGGCAGAAACTCTGGCAGAAGAAGAAAGAGCTTTGTCTGTAAATTACCTAATCAAGTAGATATTCTTTGTTTTCACAAAATGTGTGCAGTTAAAAAAAATCCAGAAATGCTGATCTATCCAAATTTAGAGGCCCTAGGATTTCAACAGGGAAAGTAAATAAATACTTCATCTCTAGAGGCTTGGCACAGGAAGGCTCATACTGTTAACTAATTGTATTTATTTTATTTCACATCTATTTTGTCTAGACTTGCAATATCATTTACTTAAGAGTGGATTCCGATTCTAATAAAACGTTTTCAATACCCTGGTGAGAGCTGAACTCAAAAGATCTCTCAGCAAATTTCATTAAACTTTTTTTCCTGTTCACTTTTTTCCCGTTCACTGAAGATTAAATTGAACATTTTACTTAGACTTTTATTAAGAATACCTAAAAGCACAATAAAATTACACGATGATTTGGAGGATTGTTCAGTTGGACTTCATTCTCCTTGTCTGGTAATCATAAAATATTTATTATTTAAACAAGTGACACATAGTCTACAAGCTTTTTAATCCCCAATTTGGAGTTGATACCAGTCTAAACGTGTGACATATTGATAAACATAAGTGTCTATTTAAGTAAGGGGAAAAGAAGGGATGCTGACATGCCTTCCATTTTCTATTGGGAAGAGAGTTTGCACTGTTTACCTTCCACTTTGGGAGTCCTTAATAACTTTTAGGGTAATAAACACCTTAAATCAATGGTGACATAGAATCATATAATTGGAAAGAGACCGCAAGGGCTATTGGATACACCTGCCATGCATGGAGAAACCACAGAGATACATGGTCTTATTATCACTTGCTTTTAATAGTGATGGTCAGATGATCCGAGGAATGTTTATGGCTGGTAATCATTAAGCCTATCTTCCTCTTGTCCTTAATTGTCCTTAATTCTTAATTGGTCTTTCCTATGAGTTCTTTGTCTTCTCTTCACTTTATTATTTAGAAAACAGATCTGATTTCAACTAAGGCGTTATGTTATGTCTGTTTTGTGGATCTGTCTTGTTGATTGTTAACTGTTGTGGATTGATGCTGTTGATCCTGTTTGTTGCGTTGTTATGTTTTAATTGCACTGACACTGTTTGATAATTGTACCATGTAAACTGCATTGAGTCGCCTGTTAAGGGCTGAAAAATGCGGTATAGAAATAAAGCAAATGAATAAATAAATAAATAAATAAATTATTTGCAAACTTCCTTTAAATGCTTATCTTACTTGTCAAACATCTGAAACTTAACTATCAAACAAGATGTCTCGAGTACTGGTCATCTGCCATTGACAGTCTTTTCCAACAAAATGTGAAATTGCAGGAGAGATTTGGGGGCATTTCAGGTCTGCATGCTCTGGATACGCCTTGTATTTTACTTGTTCTCACTCACACAAACTGAAAAGTGTCTTATGCTTCCCTAAAATTTAATAGATGAGGTTATAAGTATTAAAGTGTGTGACCTTGTTGTCAAGAGGTATTAATCACTTTCCTGCTCATTCAGATAGTCATCTTCTAGTCTGTTTAATAAGGAAATGCATGAGTCTACATTTTCATTGGCTACCATAAGCAATATATGTCAGCTGTGTTTGTGGTCAAAAGAAAGAGTACAGTCTGTCTTACTAGCTTTAAATGGAAGGTAGTAGTATTAAATATTTGTGCAACTTTAATATCCTTTGTTTTTAGAGTCTGGGACTTGGAAGGGAACTTGAAAAATTATTTTATTCTACATTCTCCTGGAATGAGTGTGAGCTGGCATCCCGAAGAGGAATTTAAGGTTAGTATTCTACAGGTATTTTGTTCCTTTGCCAAACATGAAAAGCCTTCAGTTATGTAATAATAGTTTTCAAAACTGAAACTATGGAGAATTTTGCCAATATTTTTAAAAATCTTGGAAACATACAGCTAAAGATACATTTAATATTTTTTTTAAAAAAAGAAACCACTGTGGTTGATGATGGTAAAAGTAAAAATACCTGTTTTCAAACCTCCAGTTGGCAGTGAAATTCGCTGTGTGACCAACTCATATCATACTGTATTTCACATAATTTGGTTGAAAATTCAGTACAAGTTAACCATATATGCTTTACTGATCTCTTAGAAGAATTGCAGGATAAAAAAGCAACTGAATATGCAATTAAAAATAGTTCAGCACTCTTAATTCACCACTGATCTTCAAACCAATACCTAATTTGAGGTAAAGATTTTTAATATCCTGCTCTCATGTTTTGGATTAAAACTCCTGCAGTGTTTCTTGGATGTTGTGGGAGGTTTAGTTCCAAACAGAAAAGTTCAGGATTGCCTCGCAAAGTTTCTGAGATGCTTAACTTATGCATGGAAGTGGACTTTTATTTTCATGTACTGTGTGTATAGTAGATGTTGTGTTAGTAAATTTAGCCTATCTAATCTGTCTTTATTCCTCCTGTTCTCACTAAGCAGCAATGATTAAATGCTGTATAACCCAAGCTCCATACAAACATAGCTTCCAATTAAAAATTAATCAGCTTAAAATCATTAAGTAGTGACCTAAAATGTAGGTGCAAGCCTCGTGAGGTTTAGCAATCTCTCTGCAAGTCTTGCAAGACACAGAGAAACTTCAGGAAGCCTCTATTAAAAATGGCCACTGCCACTCTACCTCAAGAACCCCAAATGGTGAGACATCTACCTGCCTTGGGCTCCTCTGCATAGTGCTGAATGCCAAAAGAGTAGGTGAGGAAGGAAGGTGAGCTGTCTTTCTGTAGAGGCTGGGCAAGGAAGGATAATGAGGTGAGAGTGCCAAGAGAGGCTTCTTAGCTCTGCCTCGTGACTTCACATTGGGTCCCTAATAGGGGCAAGTTGCTTTCCTTGCTCTTTTCCACACATCCTTTTTAGACCACATTCTCATTTTTCCCCTCCTTTATAGTCTTTGTCTTATTTGTATAGCTGTAAACATTTTAAGATTAGTAATGCAATTTACACACACAATCCTTGGAACTCCACAAATAAAAATTCTCTCCTTATCTTTAGGTCTTCCTAAATACATTCCCTCTGTGCCTTTTGAAAAGGAGAAGAAAATATTTGATTGTTACTTGCCTTAATTTTTATCCCTGACTTATCTATAGATCAAAGCAAAATTTACAATTGTGTCCCCAAAACCTGTCCTCAAATAATTATGACACTGACTTGTACATGGGTATTTATATTAAACCCGTAACTGTCACTAGTGTATCTCACCTGTAAAAACTGGTAATTTTTTTCAGCATTTCTCCTAAAGATTTTTTAAAATGTGATTTTACACATGCATTATTCCTAGATTGCATGCTATATAAATGTCTGTTTTGTGACTTGATGTGTTGGTCTGTAGATGATATGTGTTCATATGGTTGATATGTTCTGTACTTGTGGTACACTACACTAGTTTGGATTAGGTTATTATACTAAATATGCATAAGTGTTGTAGTTACAAATTATTATCTATGGAAGGGTGTCTTTTTATGAGTGAGAAATTAAATCTTATTGGCCTACATCAAAATGGCTGGAAAGCACTACCTGAAGTGCACTTGTACTGTTAATGTCTGTTACAATGTTAGGTTTACTAGGAAAGATAACTATTTAAAGTTCCTACTTTCTGCTTCCTTTCTGTCCAGTTGATGGTCGCAGAGAAGAATGGAACAATCCGAATCTATGATCTTGTGACCCATCAAGCAGTTTTGTCTCTCACAACTGATCAGACACCACTGATGTCAGCAAGCTGGTGTTTGAAAAATACTTTTAAAGTTGGAGCAGTTGCTGGAAGTGACTGGTATATCTGGGACATTGCACGATCTAGGTATAGTTTTTGATAACTCTGCTCCTTTTAGTACTTACAAGGTTTAATGTAAATATATAATTTATATTTATATATAATTGTTGATAGAACTGTATTGATTTGACTATCAAGTGAATTTCTTTCTACCTGAGATCATATTGCTATAAGCAAATTGGGAGAGTTATGCAATATTGTCATCAGTTGTTTTGTATGTTGCTCCTTTCACATAATATCCAAACTCAGTATCCAGTTTTTAAATGTGTTTGAAAATAGAATTTTTCTACTTTTAAGTGGCAGCTGGGTTAATTTGGGGCAAAGATAGCATGATTTTCTTGATGTGGGAGTGGTTTCCAAAATATGTGTGCAGTTTCTCTAGACAGTTTTTTGTTGCCTTATGAAATAAGAGAGTGGATTAGAGCTAAAAATAACTATTTCCTTTCACAGTTATCCTGTGGAAAAGAGACCTGTCCATGCAGATAGAGCCAGATTATTCAGGTAAACAAGATGTTGAATCTTATGAAATGAGCTCTGGGCAATTAATTTTTGCTCTTCTAATGCTGCGAGACCTTTTAAAATTTAAGTTTTCTTTGATATGTACAATCTTCCAAAAATAAAAATTTACATTTCAGATGTATTACATAGTTTTTTCTTCTTTCATACAACCTAAATTAATTCTTAACATGGTTGGCCTTTCCTTGTCCCATGTTTCATCCTACCTACCTTCCCCTAATGTGCCAGTGCTTCCTTCTGCTGAATCCAGAATTTGTCATTGTGTAAATCTTCCTTTTTCCTGATAGCCCTTTCTCTTATTCTTCCTTGGCAAAACAGCAGCACTGAGCAAAAGGGACTGGATTATGCAACTTTCACCTGTCTTTTTCACCCTCTGCCTCCATTGCTGCCCTACTCCATTTTTAATAGGGACATATAAACCTTGTTGCACATTCACAATTTCTCTTAGTCTTGCAAGGTTTTCAGTCTCTTTTGAAAATGGTGTAGGGCAGCAGCGGTTGTGATGGCAAATAATCTGGGAATAATCAAATTCACAAAAGTTAAAGTCACTGATATATTTTCCATTTACTGTTAGCCTGATGAGAAAGAAGACTGAAGTAGGGAGTGAAAGAATTATATCATAGCTTGAAGACATTTTCAGAAGAAATTTTTATTTGTTTTTTTCGTTATGCCAATTTTGGAGATTAATGTATATTTCTTTCTGTGTGACAAAAATGCAACCAATTTTCATGCTTGCAGACATAAAAGTATGTGTTGTGAGGAGAGACACATGCTCACAATCTGACTGAGACTGAGTCAGACAAAATTAAGCACTGTATTCCACTGATCTTGTGAGGTTGATATTAACATTTTGCTTGGCTCTCTGTTGAACTGTAGTGTAGGGTAGTGACTTACGTATTTAGTATGTTTTGTTTTCATATTTCTTTATGTAAGAACTGTTTTGATTTGGACCGTTACATTTGTAGGTGGTCCAAAGTCAATGAAAAATTGTTCGCTACTACTGGCTATCCAGGAAAGATGACCAGTCAACTTCTAGTTCATCATTTAGGACATCCTCAGGTAAAGCTTTTGCCAATTTGAGATGTAAAGATCATGTCTGGGGAGTTTTCCAAATTACAATTTGCTCTGTTTAAAAAACAGAGGAGATTTAGTCCCATGTAGGTTTCTTGTTTGCTCAAAATGAATACAGATGGACTGCATGTACTTTGAAACCACTTTATCAGAACATCTTGAAGAGAACACTGTCTGCAGTTGTAATGTCCTGAATAAAAAGAAAAAACTTATAGGCTCCGGTCCAAAGCTTTAGACATTGCATTTTAGATGCTTTACTCGAGAATTTAGGTGTCCCTGGGTTTTTTTAATGCTACTATTAAAACAGCATATTATCATGCTGTATTCCAAACTTTTTTAAAAAAAATCCCTCATGGAGATCTGTTGTTTAAAAAGCAAAACCCTCTAGCAATTCTGCTTCTGGGCATAATAATAATAATAATAATAATAATAATAATAATAATAATAATAATAAATTTATACCCTCCCACTATCACCCAGTGAAGACTCAGGGCGGCTTACAGAAGCACATACAAGTCCATAACACATAAAATTGAGGTAAAATTACATCACCGTATTAAACAATAACATCAGTTAAGATAAAAACAACACATTACAAAAAGTCCAATTTAAAAATCAATAAACATAGTACTAATTACCATTAAAATGAATAGTATAGCATTCCAGCCGCACCTCAGTTCAGCCATTAAAATGCTAGGGTCAATATTAAATTGTTTAGTCCTTAGATTAGCAGATTTCTTAATCATTCCCAAAAGCCTGTCTGAAAAGCCATGTTTTCAGCTCCTTGTGAAAACATTGTAATGTGTGGCAAGCCTAATATCCCTGGGGAGGGCGTTGCAAAGCCAGGAGCTGCCACCAGAAAGGCCATCTTTCTCAACCCCACCAGCCGCACTTGAGACGGAGGTGGGACCAAGAGGAGGGCCTCCCTGGCAAATCTTAGAGCCCACGCCGATTCAAAGGGGGAGATGTGATCATGAAGATTTGTTGGACCTGAACAATGTAGGCCTATGTAGTAATAACCTGCCCTTTGAATTGGGACCAGAAACATGTATAGTTATGAATGTCATTAAGCACATTGAAAGTACATCTGGATCCAACAGGCATTGAGGCTTTACAAGCAATGATTGTGAAACTGTGATTGATGCCTCATTTTGGGTGACAACTCCTTAGAGTTGTGGTTTTTTGTATCGGTGTGCTCTCTACAAATTAAAGTAATAACAAATTGGAGACTTGCAAAATATTCAAAACTTTGTGTTGTATTGAAAACTGTAGTGGCATCTAAAACTTATTTTACATTATAAACATTGGGTTCTATTTAGAACAGGCATGGGCAAACCTTGGCCCTCCAGGTGTTTTGGACTTCAAGTCCCACAATTCCTGGCCTCAGGCCCTTTTCTTTCCCCCCTCAGCCACTTAAGCTGAGGGGAAAGGAAGGGGCCTGAGGCCAGAAATTGTCTGAGTTGAAGTCCGAAACACTTGGAAGGCCGAAGTTTGCCCATGCCTGATCTAGATGAATCATTCAATTAAAATATTGTGGCTGATTTTCCTCTTACTAATGATAACTGAAATGTAAAATCTAAATTAAACAACATAACATGCATAGATTCTCATCTGACCTTCGACTGGCAGAAAAATGTGACAGAAGCAGCAGGGAAAGGGCCAGAATGAAGACAGACAGTTGTTTCAGGTTGTGGGATATAGTGCCAAATCTGTAGCAAGAACATAAGAAGGCTCACTAGAATTTCAACTAGAGGCATCCCCCATGAACAGTGAGCTTTACCATCCTGTTTTATGCTACAGCAGCATAGTCTTTGCCTTCTTGTTGTAAGATTACAAGCAAGAGCCCCTGATATGTATGAAGTAAATTTGGAAAGTAAATGCAGTGCAGGAGGTGATTAGTTGAAGATTGTTGATTTTTTTAAATTAAGTTTTTTTTTTACATTGTACAATTTGAATGGCAAGGATATCTAAATTCTCTTTCTTTCTCTTTTTCTGCAGCCCATCCTTATTGGTTCTGCTCCTGTAGGATCTGGTTTAACGTGGCATAGAACACTTTCAATATGTGCCATGGGAGGAGATCATAAACTTTTTTTCTGGGCAACTGAATTGTAAATATTTATACATGCTAGTTAAATGCTTTGGATATAGGGATTATAGGGGCTGTCACAAATACTGAAATATACAGTGTGTGTTTTATATTTTATACATCCAATAAATAAAGAGTTTGCGTGGCGGCACTTTAGAATTGCAACAGTTAAGCACAGCTTCATTGCTGTTGGAGTAAAAGGTAGAAGGGAGGGAATGCTGGATACAGACTCAGCAGGCATGGCTGTAGACCAAAATTGACATTTCACCTAAATCATGCTCATTAGGTGGTTTCAACTGAATGCAAATTGCCATTTTTTAGGCAGAAGAGGCACTGGTCACTGTGTCATGACCATATTGTTATACATTAAAATTGTGATTGCATTACTTGTTTGAATTGTTCCCACAAATACAAAATGGATACAATAAAATAAACATTATGCATTCAAATGTAGATTGGGAGCATTTTGTACAGATGTTAATCTTCCTTGTGCCACAAAATTTGCATCCTTTGCAACACATTGCCACTGGGTTATCATTTGTTGTTGGCTTGTACTTTGTGTATCTTTCGGCTTGTACTTTGTGTATCCTTCATCAAGAAACAAAAGCTGGTATCTCAAAAATTATTTTATTGAAGTGTGGCATTGAACAATCTGTAACAAACGGAAGCATTGATTATAAAATATGTATGAGGAAAATTGTAAAAAAAAAAGCTAGAAATGCTAACAAAAGGAATCCTGTATTAATAGTGTGGATCATGGTTTAGTCACTATTAGAGTATAGTCAAAACTATAACACATGTGCTTCCCTTTACTTACCAAGTGGCTAGGAAGAAACTTAAATTGGTACCTTAGTTACCTCTTGTGTGACATTGACAGAAGGGTGACAGAGCAGGTGGCTCAATTCTTTTTTGCAGCAGCCAAAGGCCGCAAATGCTTCATGAACGGTCAGAGAGTAATAACAAGCACTTAGGGGACTTAATCTAGAACTTTAACTAGTCCTATAATACAAAAACAGTTACTCAATTTGTAGATATTGAAGATATCTATTATTGCTAAACCATAAGTCAGAACTTGATATTATTTATTATTTAAATGTTGTAATTTGTAATTGCATGTTCTAATGTTGTAATTTATTCCCACTTGACTTCAGCTGAAGGTTTAGTGACTGAACTAAAGGCTACTGGCTGACACCATTAGAATAGGCTCATTAAAATTTAACATTCAGAGATGGATATGTTTGATAAAATCTACATTTCTCCCTAAATATGTACAGTTTATATCCGTTTATAAACATGTTGGCTTCCTGATTTCCTTTCCTTTAGAACCCACAACTAATTTAACATAGTTATCACTATGTTAAAAGTATTGTATGCTTAATTTTTTAAACATTTCAGTTACATGGGTTCAAACTTGCAACCAGGGATTAGAGGAAATATTAAATATTTATGGACTGAAAACTAGATATGACTAAGAACATTTTAAGAGGATTACCAGTTTCTTCAACATGACTGTATGGTCAACTTCCACTGGAAATTGGCCATAGAATTGCATGAGAGGACTTACAAATGCCTAGGAAAGTGTTCTCTGTGGGAATCTAGATCCCCCAGCACAACTCTGGTGCACTTTGACCATAAGGTCATGCTAGAGAACCAAGGAATTCCTAGAGAGAACATATTAATCAAAATTGCAAATAATCAAATCCGCAAAAGTGAAACCTACAAATGTAGAGGGCCAACTGTATAGGTACCCCTTATAGATTTAGTGCTACTAGCCAAATCAGAGCCAGTGTGGTAAGTGGTTTGATTGTTGGACTCTGAAGATCAGGGTTTGTCTGGACAGGTCACACATCCTCAGCAACAGAGGAATGTTAACCCCTCTGAACAAATCTTGCTGGGAAAACCATGTGATAGGGTCCCTTAGGATCACTATACATTGGAAACAGTTTGAAGGCACACACCACAAAATCAAGGCTCAAAAATAAGCAGTCCTGCAGTTTACCCAAAAGTATACACCTCTTATGTCTCACTCAACAGAGTGAAATGATAACACTCAGTTTGTTTTTAAGTAACTCAGATCCCTTTCTTAATATGAAACCCCATCTGATGACATTGGAGTTCCTCTAATGCAATCTTGCCAGACCTACTTTTTAAAAAACAGTGGAAATTCATGGCAAATGGGAGTGGGGGGTTGGAAACCATATTTTTGACTCTTTCAATTTTCATTGAATTAATTATTGCTCTGATGGAGGATCAGGGAACATTATGTCTGGAAATGGCCGTGGACCAGCTTTTTTCTTTATGCAATTTGCTGGTTCTGCAGTTGTTTTGACTTCTATGCTAATTATTAAAGGAACAGCTTCGGAACTGGTAAATTAATATAAGCCAGCATATGAAATTCATACAATCCACTGTACAGCAGAGACTTTCTGGCTGGCTTGCTGGGTTCTTTGGCTACTTTGATTAATGAGGAAGCCCTAGTTTGGGTTTTTTTAATGTATGTTTGTTTGGAGTGCCTCAATTGTACCATTATCTTTTTATGGCACCCAACTTGACTTTTCTTGATTCTTTCCTTGTTTTCACTGCTGCAGGAGAGGATTGAGAGTTGTGTAGACATCATTTGGCAGAACTCTGCATCTCCACCCAATATTCATCTTTAAACTGACTTTTTTTCAATTTGTGCAATTGCCCTTGAGTTGAACTGCATTTCTTTGGTGGGAAAATGTAATAGATTGGCTCTGGGTCTTTCTTACAGTTGAACTGCAGCCTTCCTCCACCCAAAAACAAATATGTAAAAGTAAAAAACAAGCAGTCTATAAGACAGATAAGTAACCTGCAAAGGGTTTTATCACTATTTAATTCCATGGCAACAATAGCTGTACTTCTTTCCTTGAAAGGGGTAGTAATTTTTGCCCTTGAAAGGGATAGTAATTTTTGTTTGTGTATATCATGTTTGTTCATGTTCTTGGCAACATATGCTGACTCTAAATATGATGACCTTAAGGCAACCCTATCATGGGGTTGTCTCTGCAAGATTTGTTTAGAGCGGGTTTGCCTTTGGGCTAGTAAGAAAGGTTTCCCTGCAAAGGGGATGAGGAGCTGTGATGGAGCTTCTTTCCAGACTTGCCTCACAGTGCCAAACCTTAAGCTTACATTGGTCATCTTCACCATTTTACCGTCAATCAAGATCCCTCCTTGAACTAGGTACTTGGGCCTTAAGGTCATATTTATATGGACCAATATGTATTGTTCCATGGATTCCCAGTGGTAAGTATAATCGCATAGTCTACCTAAATTTGATAGTAACAGCCACAGTTGTTTAAAAAAGAGAATGAATTAGCAGAAGTTTATTAGGACATACTTAGATTGCGCAATAACTCCTGTAGTGTTCAATTATTCACAGCTCCCAATAACTCTATTCTGTTCCTCACCCTAGCTGACTGTCCTCCTCTATTACAGTTTTTCCTGGTCTCTCTGGGTGCATTTGCACTAGCACTTACGCAGTTAGACACCACTTTAGCTGCCATGGATCAATGCTATGGAATCCTGGGAGTTGCAGTTTGGTGAGGCACCAGCACTGTTCTCAAAGAAAACTAAAGAGCTTTTAAAATAACGCCCTCCGTGATTCCACACAGCACGGAGCCATGGTAGTTAAAGGGACACTGAATCACATTAATTTTACTCCCTGAGCCACATATGAACTGAACATTTAATGCAGCTTCAAACTGATATTGAAGAAAGTGCATACAAAATTCCAGAACCAGTTTAAGACCCAGATGGTGATTACAAAAGCCACACAGAACTGATGCACATTAAGGGGTTTTTCATGTGCTTTTGTGGCAGTTTGTTGCCTGGCCTCAGCAGTTGGAAGCTAGCTGTGTGTATGTGCTTGCATATAATTCATTTATTTATATCCCGTTTAGCGAAATGTCTAGGTTTTGGGGTATGTTTATTAATATTGGGATATATGTGCTGGTTAGTTAGGGGGTGGCTAGAAGCCCAGGCCATGGTGACATAACTCCCCAGGCAAGAGAGCAAGGGCCGGAGCCAACTGCCACTGAAAAAAAAGAATGTTGATTTGAAAAGGGTCAGTTGGTGGCTGGATGAGCCCAAAGAATGGTTGCTTATAATTATGTGGAACTAGACCAAACAGTTTAAGCTCTAACAGGTAGTCAGGGAAAGAAAGGCTGCACTAAGTAGTGAGCCAGGTATTTGTTCTCCAGTGTGGAGTAGTTAAGAGTAAAAGCCAAATCTGAAGTAATAGGAGTGAGACTGAGAATAGTTTATAAGTCTAAAAGGAAAGGAAACTGCAGATACTAAAGAGACAGAAGAAAATCTGTTGTTAAAAGTGTAACAGTTATATGTTTTTGGAAGAGTCAAGAATTAAGTGTAACAATAATAAGATAATATGTAACCGCCAAGCATTGTGAACCTGAGAAATCTTCAAACAAATGTTTATATTCAGTTCAGATTCTGAGAATTCAGGTTTATTTATTTAAGAGAAGATTACTCAAAAGAAAAGAAGTTGCAGATTTTGTGAAGTCAAAGATAAACTGGTTGCATTGGATTACACATACTAAAGTGAAATAAACAGGTGTCTTAGAAATATCCCTCTCATATAAGCTTCACTCCCAAATAAACAAAGCCTCATCCTCTTACATCAGTGTTTCTCAACCTTCCTAATGCTGCGACCCCTTAATACTGTTCCTTATGTTGTGGTGACCCCTATAAAGACAGCTTTAGATATGGCACCAACAATATAACTGGACAGGGGGCAAACAGATCCCACCAACTGTCACCAATGATAAAGACTCCTTTATGGCTGTCTGGGCAAACAATATCTCTGGACAGGGGATAAAGCAAATCCCACCAATGTCCCTCCAATATAAAGAATTTACACCACTTTGGCACCAATAGAATGTTTGAGGGGATTGTCTCACTAATTAACTTCCGCTGCCACCATAAACAATTGTACAGGAACACTCTAGCTGTTTAAAATATTAAAAAGGGCTTGTATTACCACCAAGTACTGTGTTTTATTTTCTTATTTAAAGGAAGCAGGTGAGGTTGGATGAAAAGAACTATAGCCACAAAGGCACACTGGACTCAGGCTTTTAAGTTTCAAAATAAACAAGGAAAGTTTATTGAATAAAGTACAGAATAAAGTGTAAATGCTGTTTAATAAGCTTGGCTGTTACAGATAAAATGTTCTGGTTCTTGAAAGCGTAACGGTTGCATGAGAATGGTTCTTTCTTTGTTACAAATATAAAGATTTACTTCTCTTTAAACACAAGTACTCTTGACAGGATCTGAAATCTCTGCCACGATACAACTGTAGCCTAGCTAACTACAAAACCCAGCTATTTTTTCCCTAAATAGCTGTACCCAGTTTGCTACAGCTCACTTCGCTGGCAAACTTCAGGCAAACTGCCTCTTCTTAACACGAACTCCTAAAAACTTCTGTAATCCTGCTCTAAACTCTAACATCACCAGACAGACTGAAACAGCCCTTTCTTTCCCTCCAAACAGTCTAACTCCGCCCCCCTTTCATAAACCAATCCTGGCTGTTCCAAGGCTGGCTCAAGCCTAGGCCACTCCCCCTCTCTGAAATGGAGCTTTCCCTAAACTAAAATGGCTCCTGCTGCCCTCTGCCAGGCCCTCCAAAGCTGCAACTAACTGGCCTGTCTCTCCTAGGCCCTGCCACCCAGGCTGGTAAGGTAAGGGATCTTCACAACCCCCAACCATGACATTATTTTCGTTGCTACTTCACAACTGTAATTGTGCTCCTATTATGAATCCTAATGTAAACATCCGATATGCAGGATATATTTGCATTCACGGGACCAAACTGGGCACAAATATACAATAATACAACCAAATTTGAATACTGGTGGGATTGTGGAGAGGATTGATTTTGTCATTTAGGAGTTGTAGTTGCTGGGATTTATAGTTCACCTCCAATCTACATCTAGAGAGCACTGTGCACTCAAACAATGATGGATCTGGACCAAACTTGACACAAATACTCAATATGCCCAAATGTGAATACTGGTGGAGTTTGGGGAATAATAGACCTTTACATTTGGGAGTTGTAGTTGTTGGGATTTATAGTTCACCTACAATCAGAGTATTCTGTTCTCCACCAAGGACAGATTTGGGCCAAACTTCCCACACAGAACTCCCATGACTAACAGAAAATACTGTTTTCTAATGGTTTTTGGCGACCCCTCTGACACTCTCGCGACCCACAGAGGGGTCCCGACCCCCAGGTTGAGAAACACTGCTCTACATAATTGGTGGCAGCTTCATGAGTTATAGAGATACTTTCATTTCATCCCACTTTATCTCTCCAGATGGGAGACTCAAAGCAACTCACAATCAAAAACATTACAAAAATATACAAAAATAAAACTGTATCATTATATATTGTTTTATATTATCAGTAGTAATTATATTTAATATATTGTTATTATTATATGCCTTCCCAGAACAAGGACTCCCAAGCAATATGTTCCAAATGCACTTTATGAGAGAGTTAGTACTGTTAGCACGCCCACCTATCTTTAAAATATCCAACCTATTTCCCTGGACATGCCCAGCATTTTAAAATTTTAATTCTTACATTTGGCCCTGCCACAGGTTTTTAATTGTGTCGTGTCATTATTGTATTGTTTTGCTTTGTTATGAGTTATTTATTGTTGTATTGTTGTTGTTGTGTTTTGTGATGTATTTGGGCTTGGCCTCTTGTAAGCCGCACCGAGTCCTGCGGGAAATGGTCACGGGGTATAAATAAAGGTTTATTATTATTATTATTATTATTATTACTATATTACAATATATGATATTGTATTAGGAGTATATTACATTGTATTATATTATTATATAAAATATATTATATTATTAGCATTGCACATTAGTATTATATACTGCCATATGGTACTATACCACTATACTGCAATATTATTAGTATACCACAATATATATAATATGTGCTGTCACATGCTGGGACTGAAATAATGTCTGTTTACAGGACGTGCCTTCTGTATGCTCAACGGGACGCCGGGGTGCCTCAGCTGAAGGGTCCCTTAAATTTCCCAACACAAAGTTCTATTGAGGTTATAGACATCAATGCTAGGCTGTAGATCTGCCAAGCTGAAAGGTGTCCTTTAGTTTCTACACGAAGGCTGTAGGAACTGTCCTGTTGCCCCAGCAAAGGCTGGCTGTATTCCTTCAGCAAAAGCTGTGGAACCTTTCCTTTTCCCCCAGCAGAGCTGTGGATCTATTTCTTTACTCCCCAGCAAAAGCTGTGGAACCTTTCTTTTTCCCCCAGCAAAGCTGTGAGAAGCGAAGCTTTTGTGCAGGTGGGAAAAAGAATCCCACACGTCCTGCTTTTAGGCTTCAAACAGTGAGACTGAACAAAATCCCCCCTTCCCTCCAAAACCATGGGAAAAGGGGCGGGTCTAAAGATTAACGATGATTTGTCAGGTTGCTGGCCCTATGATTGCAACCTGAGGGAAGCTACCTTATTGCAAAATGCATGGCTTAAATAAATTCATGCAAACTAGCAGTGCAAGAAAAGGAATTCAAATCTCCTGGCACTGCTGTGCCAGCACATAATACACTACCATTATTATACTATTAGTATTATATATTGTTCTCTCTCAATCTCACACACACACACATATACATACGCCCGTATGTATACACACAAATTTATTTATTTATTTATTTGCTTTACTTCTATACCGCCTTTCTCAGCCGAAATGGCGACTCAAGGCGGTTTACATAGTAAAGGTTAACACAGCAACATCAAAAAGGCAATTAAAAACACATTATACAAACATATCAAGTCAAAAACAATCATTATCATAGACGTGCGCATTAGTTGTTCACACACTATTAGTTGTTCACACACTATTAGTTGTTCACACACAGACAGGCACACACTGAAATATAATTATGGGTAACTATATGCATATAGTACATGTTGTTCATTCGTTCAGTTGTCTCCGACTCTTCGTGACCTCATGGACCAGCCCACGCCAGAGCTCCCTGTCGGACGTCACCACCCCCAGCTCCTTCAAGGTCAGTCCAGTCACTTCAAGGATGCCATCCATCCATCTTGCCCTTGGTCGGCCCCTCTTCCTTTTTCCTTCCACTTTCCCCAGCATAATAATCTTCTCTAGGCTTTGCTGCATATAGTGCATAATTATGTTTAATTGGGATATACTGTGTGTATGTGTATACACACACACACACAAATTTGGAATATTCAAACACAAAAATATATTTCCAAAGAATACAAATATTCACTGACATCCCCATATGAGTTCATACACAGATAGGCACATACTGAAATATAATTAGAGTAACTCTTCCACTCTGCTGAATAAAATCCCACATTTTCTGCTTTGAACTGGAATATATGGCAGTGTGGACTCAGATAACCCAGTTCAAAGCAGATACTGTGGGATTTTCTGCCTTGATATTCTGGGTTATGTGGACAGGCCCTCAGGCACAACTCCAGAGCGCGTTCTGCAGATCAACTCAAGGAAAACGAGGCAGATGGAACCCATATGTATTTGAAAACCACTCTCCTAGAGACTTCCGGCTGTCGGAACTACAGTCCCCATGATGCAACGCGGCTCAGAGAGCGGCGGCTTCCGGTCTCGCAGCACAAGCGCCTGGAATGCCGATGAGCCGGGTCAGGGTGGAGGGTGATCTCGCGATCGCTTCCGGGAAGAGGCTCTTTGGCTTCTCGAGGCGCTCTTCCGCTGGAGGAGGGGCCCATGAGCGCCTGCGGGGATGGACGAGGACGGGCTGCCACTCGTGGGTTCGGGCATCGACCTCACCAAGGTACCGGCGGCTGCAGGGCCCTGGTCGGCCTCTCAAGCCAGGCCTCGCCTTCCCCAGTGATGGATGGGCTCCGGGACTAAGCCAGGCAGGGTCTCAACCCGGCCTGGGCCAACTTGGGCCTTCCAGTAGGCTGTTAGGAATTGTGGGAGTTGAAGTCCAAAACACCTGGGGGGCCCAAGTTAGGCCAAGGCCTGGTCTATCATGTCAGTTGCCCTTCCTGTCTTTCTCTTTCTCCACTTGTTCATATTCCTTTCCTCTAGAGTCACTTTGATCTCATGTTTGTGAATTGTTTACAAGTGTTATGGCAGAAACACAATGCCCCAGATTTATTGCAGGCTGCAGTTTATCTTGTTGATACAGGCCTGAGCAAACTTCGGCCCTCCAGATGTTTTGGACTTCAACTCCCACAATTCCTAACATCCTACTGGAGGGCCCAAGTTGGCCCAGGCCTGGTCTATCAAGTCAATTTCCCTCCCCGTCTTTCTCCTTCTCATATTCCTTTCTTTCAGAGTCACATTGATCTCATGTTTGTGTATTGTTTACAAGTGTTGTGGCAGAAACACAATGCCCCATATTTATTGCAGGCAGCATTATATCTTGTTGATACAGGCCTGAGCAAACTTGGGCCCTCCAGGTGTTTTGGACTTCAACTCCCACAATTTCTAACATCCTACTGGAGGGCCCAAGTTGGCCCAGGCCTGGTCTATCAAGTCAATTTCCCTTCCCGTCTTTCTCCTTCTCATATTCCTTTATTTCAGAGTCACATAGATCTCGTGTGTGTATTGTTTACAAGTGTTATGGCAGAAACACAATGCCCCATATTTTATTGCAGGCTGCATTTTATCTTGTAGGTACAGGCATGGGCAAACTGGGGACCTCAAGAGAGATATTGACAAGCTGGAATGTGTCCAGAGGAGGGCGACTAAAATGATCAAGGGTTTGGAGAACAAGCCCTATGAGGAGCGGCTTAAGGAGCTGGGCATGTTTAGCCTGAAGAAGAAAAGGCTGAGAGGAGATATGATAGCCATGTATAAATATGTGAGAGGAAGACACAGGGAGGAGGGAGCAATCTTGTTTTCTGCTTCCTTGGAGACTAGGACGTGGACAATGGCTTCAAACTACAAGAGAAGAAATTCCATCTGAACACGAGGAAGAATTTCCTGACTGTGAGAGCTGTTCAGCAGTGGAACTCTCGGCCCCGGAGTGTGGTGGAGGCTCCTTCTTTGGAAGCTTTTAAACAGAGGCTGGATGGCCATCTGTCAGGGGTGATTTGATTGCAGCATTCCTGCTTCTTGGCAGGGGGTTGGATTGGATGGCCCATGAGGTCTCTTCCAACTCTTTGATTCTATGATTCTAGGTGTTTTGGATTTCAGCTCCCACAATTCCTAACAGCCAGTAGGAAGTTGAAGTCTAAAACACCTAGAGAGTCCAAGTTTGCCATGTTATTACAGGTTTAGCATTCTTTATCCTGAAATCCCAAATACTCCAAAGTCTTGTCGAAGGCTTTCATGGCTGGAATCACTGGGTTGTATGTGCTTGGCTAAAAACTGTCAGGCCATCAAATGCTAATCAAGGTGGCCAATTGAAACATTCACATCTACCTCCAACAGACAAGAGTTCTTTCTCCCACCCTGGACCTTCCATAGATATATAAACCCAATGTTCCTAGTTTCCAACAAACCTCACAACCTCTGAGGATGCTTTCCACAGATGCAGGCAAAATGTCAGGAGAGAACATGGCCATACAGCCCGAAAAACCTACAACAATCCACTCCAAAGTCCTTCGGCTGGGAAAGTGACACCTTTCCTTTCATAGAATTTGGGCCATTCAGTCCAACCCCCTGCCAAGAAGCAGGAAAATTGCATTCAAAGCACCCCTCACAGATGGCCATCCAGCCCCTGTTTGAAAGCTTCCAAAGAAGGAGCCTCCATCACACTTCGGGGCAGAGAGTTCCACTGCTGAACAGCTCTCACAGTCAGGAAGTTCTTCCTCATGTTCTGATGGAATCTCCTTTCTTGTAGTTTGAAGCCATTGTTCCGCTTCCTAGTCTCCAGGGCAGCAGAAAACAAGCTTGCTCCCACCTCCCTATGACTTCCTCACGTATTTATACATGGCTATCATGTCTCCTCTCAGCCTTCTCTTCTTCAGGCTAAACATGCCTGAAAAAGATGGTTCTTGATGGTTCAGTGTACACAAACTGTTTCATGCACCAAATTATTAAAAAAATGCATAAAATTACCTTCAGAATATGTGTATATAAAATATAAATGCATTTCTGTTTATACTTGGATTTGGTCTGAAAGGTGTTTCCTTCTGCTATGTGTGCATATACAAATAATAATAATAACTTTATTTGTTTCCCACCCCAGAGGGACTTGGGGCAGCTTACAAGACAACAACTATACAAACACGAGCAGCATAGAATGTACAACAAAAATCAAAACAGTACAAATGTTTGCCAAAAGAAATCAAAATAAAACATAACAATTGAAGTTTAACATAAAACATGTAAAATCAAAATAAAATAAGCAGTAAGCATAGCCAAAGATTTAAAGTTTGAAACCATAGTATCCAAGTACAGGCATTCCAAAAGAAAAGAAAAATCCATTATCCAGAGCACTTCTGATCCCAAGTATTCTTTTTTTTTTTTTTCAATAAGAAAGATCTTTTATTTCCATTTCTCACTGCCTTCTGGTATTCTTGATAAGACTTATTCAACCTGTATTTGTGGACAGATTGGTAGAATAGATCAGAACAGGTGATTGGTCTGAGGAAGCTTACAGTCACAGTATGTGCTGAATGTCCTGATGCAAGCTCAATGCCTCAAAGGCAGAAGGCTTAAAGATTACAACTCCTGTTGTAATATGCTTAATATTAGAGAAAAATGCAATTGATAAAATAAAAAGAGTAAAACTAATCACAAAAGTCATAAAGATAAAGGAGCTGAGAATTTGCATTTTCATAGGTGCATCATAAAACATTCAAGTAAACACATTGCCATGAACAGCCTTACTTGAATAATTGTCATAAGCGCACCATAAAACTGAAAATCTTCTGGATAGATAGGTAGGTGGGAGTTGGTAAAGCAGGGGGCTGATAGCTTCCGTGTTTTGCTATGGTGATAATGATTGATTCAGTAGAAAACATCTGAGGAAAGAAAATTTATGAAGTGTACTTTTCTGAACTTTTTTCCTGATTGGAGTCTTTTGGGGTGATTCGTGGGTGAAATCAGGACTCACAATTGATGAATACTGTGGATTTGCCCTGTGACTCTGAACATTTTTTTTCATTGTGTTATAGTTTTGACAAACAAAGAAACAAAATCCAAAAGTATTGTTGAAGGCTTTCATGGCCAGAATAACTGGGTTGCTGTGAGTTTTCTGGGCCGTATGTCCATGTTCCAGAAGCATTCTCTCCTGACATTTCAGGATCAGAGCACAACCTGAACACAGCATATTATTTGAGAATATAAAAATGCTGGACCACTCTAACAACTACCATGTCAGACTACACAGGGAAGCCATTGAAATCCACAAGTTTGCGGACAATTTCAACAGAAAGGAGGAAACCATGAAAATGAACAAAATCTGACTACCAGTATTGAAAATCTATAAAATCAGGACAGTACTGTAAATAAAAAGCAAAACCAAAAAAAAAAAAAACCAGCGAAATTCCAGACAGTAATTCATCAGGGCTAGTTAACACCTCCCAACAAAGGAGTCCCCCCAGGCATGAAGCAGCCAGGCTTTAAAGCTGCAAGGCCATTCATGCTAATCACGGTGGCCAATTGCAACATTCACACTTGCCTCAAAACATCCAGGCATCCCCTGGGCAATGTCCTTGTAGACAGCCAATTCTCTCACACCAGAAGCGACTTACAGTTTCTCAAGTCGCTCCTGACATGAAAAGAAAAAAATAAGTACAATACTTAGGTAAACTTTATTGTTTAATATAGATATAGTACATATTCAAATAAATTATTCCTAATTGTTTATGGTTTTATTTCATTTGTCAAAAATGGAATCCTATTTTGGTATCCAGACTTCTTAGAATTACTCCATCTTCCCAAATTCTCTGCTCATTCTCTGCTCATTATCTTTGCACGTTAAGAGAAAAGCAGTGCTTTGAGAGTGAATGCACATAGTTAATTTACAATTTAATTCAAAGTTATATAATTATTCATAATGATTTCTTAGAGCTAGGCTTTAATTATTTTAAGAAAACATTAAAAGGTAGTTTACATTTTTCAAATGAAAGATAATAGGTTTTAAAAATTAATTTAAAACAAAAAATATTTAGACCATAGTATTTGTGTAAATCCATCTTGTGTGTTTTTCAGTGTAAGAATTGGTGTATTTGTATACTGCAGTGAGCTCAATGAAAGATCAGAGTTCCAAATACTGTAGTCCTAACTTTAAATTTTGTTCTCTTTTCTGCCTGATCCTTTCTTCTTTATTCAACTATCTTCTAGAGTTGCATACATTGCTTAGATTTAAAAAAGATTGTGTTTGAGCCATTTTCATATACTCCAAACCTAGAAGAGACCGCAACCATGTTAAAGGATAAGGTTATTTGGATGACTTAGAGTATGACTTACTTGACTGAGTTGTATAACTTGGAGCTTTAGTTTGAAAACAATACATTGCAATTCGATATATCAGAAACAAAACCAAGTCAAATGTATACATCCCAACTTTGTGTGGGAGGGAATTGGCTAAGCTCTGTTGCCAAAGAAAAGGACTGGGAGATTTTACTGAATCAGTCTCATTGTTGTATGTTTGTGTTTGTACAATACAGGTTCCAGCCATTCAACAGAAGAGAACAGTGGCGTTTCTAAACCAATTTGTGGTTCACACAGTTCAATTCCTTAATCGATTTTCCACAGTTTGTGAGGAGGTATGTAGACATTGCATGACATCGCATGCCTAACTTTAATTGTGCTTGTGTGCAGGCAGATTTGTATTGCTTATTCTTTAGTTTGCAGCAAGCTTCATGACCTGATAAAGTGTCAGGGAAGATTGACAACCTCATTCCCTTTGGAAGATGCTGAGGGCCAACAGTCAGATAAAACAGAACTTCAACTGAACTTACTGCAAGTTACAAATACACTAAGTCTTACATCCTGAAAAACATACAGGATAGACCTTAGAAGTATATGAAATACCTGGATGTGGTCAGGTGAAACAGAGGGATGCAAAACAACAAGATGACTACTTGACAAAAATACAAATGTGAGTAGATCAATTGGTCAGCGGAAAGGAAATAGTGCTTTATGCAGTCATGCTGACCACATGACCTAGGAGGCGTCTACAGACAACTCCGGCTCTTTGGCTTAGAAATGGAAAATACCACCATCACTTCATCACCCACCCCAGAGTCAGACACAACTGGACTTAATGTCAAGGGGAAACCTTTACTTAATTGAATGTTGCTTTTCTTGCATTGTTGTTTGTAAGGGGCCCTCAGTCCCCCCAGGAAGATGAGGTGGGATACAAATAAAGTTGTTGCTGTTGTTGTTATTTCAAAGAGCTAAAAACCAGTGAGTTGATTAGGATTTTTTTAATTGAAAGTCCTGCATGGCTGTGGGTGGTCTTTTTTTCCTTCAAGAATGACATCCATTCTGAAGAACAAAGAAGTATCCATTTTAAAAAACAAACAAGAAAGAGTTGGAAACCAAAAAAAAACTTTAAAAAAATAACCCCACTAACATCTGCCCCCCTCCATCCGCAATATTATGTTTGCTGAATGGCATGTTTCTCAGGGTGCTAAAAACTTTTGGCTATGTGAACCTGGCAAGAATGTATTACCATGCCAGGAGGCAGTGAGAATGCTACAGATCTGCCAACGGTTACAATAGCCAAAGCTGGTTGCATATGGCAACGATTAGTTAAACCCACCCTATCAATTTTAACTGCTTTAGTTTTTAACTTTTAAGAAATGCAATTTTAAAGAAATCTTTCACGTGTTGCATTTTTTTCTTCCAAACATTTACAGGTAGGGCTGGAACATATTTGTGGTATTTCATGAGTGTTACCAAGAGCACTTCTGTCTTGGGTGAAATGGGCCATTAAATGGTATTCAGTTGGTTGTGACACATCAAGTGTCTAAAAAGGCAGTGAAAGAAGATATTTGCTGAGTGTTTCTTAGACTCTGGTTTCCTCATTTCTTCTGCTTCTTTTAAATGTCTATTAAGTGATTTATTTAAGCAGGTTTATTTAAACACTGTACAGGTTGTTTGCCTCAGTTACCTTTGTTTTGTAAATTGTCACCCAAAATACTCTCACAGTCAAGTGGTAGCAGGTCTCAGCATGTGGCTTCTCAGCATTTCAAGATTCTGTTTTTCCAAAATTATTCTTTCTGTAAATAAATCAATAAACTCCAGATATTCCCCAGTTAATGTATTTCATGAGAAAATCATAGTCCCACTCTCTTCAGCTTTGATTAGATCTCATCTGGAATACTAGGGAGCCCCCGGTGGCGCAGTGGGTTAAACCCTTGTGCTGGCAGGACTGAAGGTCGGAGGTTCAAATCCGGGGAGAGCGTGTCAGCTCCAATTTGTTCTCCAACCGTCCTCCACCATCCTTTCAATGCAAATCCATCTATCTAAACAGAGAATAAACACAAAAAGGCATTTCAGGAATAACCATTTGGCAAATTGAGCTTCTTTTTCAGAGATTTTATTAACTGGGGATTGCAGATAGATTGCTCACAGGAGCAGTGTTCAGGGAACATACCACCCCCTTGTTATGTCAGCTCCACTGGCTGCCAGTCTTCTACCAAGCACAATTCAAAGTGCTCACTTTAGCCTATAAAGCCCTAAACGGTTCTGGCCCAGCTTACCTGTCTGAACATATCTCCCTCTATGACCCACTTCGGAGGTCAAGATCGTGGAGGAAGTACCTGCTCTAAATCCCACCTCCCTTGCAAGCGCAACTGGTAGGGATGGGAGACAGGGCCTTCTCAGTGGTGGTCCCTCATCAGTGGAACTCCCTCCCCAATGAAATCAGAACAGCCCCCTCCATAACTTAAGGTTATGGGACCAAGCATTTGAGCAGTAACTATAGCAGTACAATAATGGAGAGCAACGGGGCAGTGGACTGATTCTGGACTTTGATTTTGAATTTGTGTGATTTTAATTGCGGTTTTAAAAATTGATGTTTCATTGCTGTTTTAATTGTTGTTATTTTTGGAATATGTTTGTTGAGCATCAAATTGCTGACGATTGTGAGGCTGCCCTGAGTTCCTTTTGGGGTGAAAAGGGTGGGATACAAGTAAATAAATAAAATAATCTCCATATCACAATTTGGTGACTTGACAAAAGTTCTCTGTGCCAGACATGTATATGTGTATCGGCTATAGCTCTATATTACAACAAAGCCAGAGAAATGAACCAGCAACAGGCCATTTTCTCTGGAGAAGCCAAAGAACCAGGTTCAAATGTTGTTATAAGCAAGCCAGGGGCAGCAATGTGGCAAGAAGGAATTGCTTCCAGGCAACTAAGGAAAAAGGTTGTATGAAAGCCAACACTTTTATTTTTCCTTGTTCCTTAAGCCACAATTGGTAGATGTGAGTAATTTGGGGCAAATGAGCTATTAAACATTTTTCTAAGCTAGTAAATATTTGCAAGGTTCCTCAGTGTGGTAAGTGTTCTATTGCTTAAAGGTATCAAGTTCATGGCCCAGTATTTGTATTAGCGATCAGCCATGTGGTAATATTTGTGATCGATCATGAGGTGTTTCCATCTGTGTGACAAGACTTACACTATACTTGTATTATGTGCTGCATATTTTTCTCTGAAAGACTGAGGTAATAAGTGTCCATGGGGGAGGCAAACCTTACAGGAGAGGAAGGGCGTAGGAAAAAAATTAACAGTGAATAAAGTATTGTGTAATGTTTCACTTCTTCTTTTCCCAGAAATTGTCAGCACTTTCCCTCCGTATTCAGCAAATTGAAACTACACTCAATATTCTGGATGCAAAGGTTTGTGCCTAATACATCTCTTCTTATTAGTGGTTATTTTCAACATACTTAAAAGATTGTGCTTGTGTAATTCATAAAGTGCAGTTTTAATCAAAAATTGTGTCAATCTGCAAACAAAACAAGAGTATTTCTTCAGAATGACTGAATATGAATGAAAACAGATGGGAAATAGCTGGAGTGGGGCAACGTGGAGGTGAACTTTTTGAAAACATGCAAGGCTTAAATCACAAGCATCCCATCAATGTAACTCTGAATTCTGGAGAATTGCTGACTAAGCCACTATGAATTGTTTAACCAATCCAAAAAATTATTTCTCATTGCTTCCCATTTTCAGCTGTCTTCTATCCCAGGCTTAGAAGATGTCAAGCTTGAAGTATCCAGCACCAGCGACAACAATATTACAAATGGCCCTGTCTCACAACTCCCTATAGATCCACAGTCAACAAACGTTTCACCTCATTCAGAGGTAAAAATCAGCATAAAGCAACTGGACACTTCCTAATTGGGATTTTTTTTCAAGGTGATCTTTCTTTTAAAAACCACAAAGCTTTGCTGTGTTTTTAAAAGATTGACCCACAACATTTTCTGTGTATGATAGGGTAATTCACCTGAAGCTGGACAACAGAAGACAGAAGAAGACACAAAAAATATCACAACTGTAGCAAAGGATCCCCGCTATGCCAGATATCTCAAAATGGTTCAAGTGGTAAGCCAATTTTATTACCTCAGATTTAGCATGATACCAAATGTGACTGCATGCTATAGTCTTGTTGTGTTTTTGTTTTGTTTTGTTTTGTTTTGTTTTTTTCATGTCAGGAGCGACTTGAGTAACTGCAAGTTGTTTCTGGTGTGAGAGAATTGACCGTCTACAAGGATGTTGCCCAGTGGGCACCCAAATGTTTTACCATCTTGTGGGAGGCTCCTCTCATGTCCCCACATGGGAAGCTGGAGCTCATCCCACTCCCCAGATTCGATCCACAGACCTTTCAGTCGGCAGTCCTGCCGGCACAAGGATTTATCCCAGTGGTTCTCAACCTGTGGGTTCCCAGATGTTTTGGCCTTCTAACAGCTGGTAAATGGCTGAGATTTCTGGGAGTTGTAGGCCAAAACACCTGGGGACCCAAAGGTTGAGAACCACTGGGTTAACCCATTGTGCCACTGGGGGTTCCTATAAAGTAAAACTGTCTTTGAAGGCAATTCTCCTGACTCCTAATCTCCTATTGTTTCACAGGTGTCGTATTATACATGTATTGTGTGCACTGGTTCATGTACAGCCAGGCTTCCCCAGCACACTGTGACAATGACCAAGAGTTGGAAAAGTGGTTCTAGCTGTGATATGAAAGATGCTGTTTAGCTCAGTGGTGGCCATAGTGGCAGAGGGCTTAATTGCTTCTCATTTGGATTATTGTCCAAATAACCATCTGGATTATTGCCCAAATTGGATTGTTGTCCAATTATCTACAGACAACGTCGGCTCTTCGACTTAGAAATGGAGATGAGCACCACGCCCTAGAGTCAGACACTACTAGATTTAAGGTCAGGGGAGACCTTTACCTAATGGAGATGGATGGATCATTCATCCTTTTCCTTGGAATACAAGACATTGGCTTTTTGTATCTCCATGGAGCCAAGAAGGCCAGCAAATGTGGTTAAGCAAGAGAGACCAAAGCTATTCAGGTTTCTCATTCACCAAAGTTGTTTGGTGGGGCAAAGGCAAAGGATGCACATCCACATTTTCCTTTGCTGGAGAATAAAATGGAAATAAGCCTTTTACTTTTATTGAAAGTTTTATATATATTTCTAATTCTTCTGTAATGGAGATGGATGGATCATTCATCCTTTTCCTTGGAATACAAGACATTGGCCTTTTGTATCTCCATGGAGTCAAGAAGGCCAGCAAATGCGGTTAAGCAAGGGAGACCAAAGCCATTCAGGTTTCCCATTCACCAAAGTTGTTTGGTGGGGCAAAGGCAAAGGATGCACATCCACATTTTCCTTTGCTGGAGAATAAAATGGAAATAAGCCTTCATGTTTTTTCCTAAGAGGTGCTTTTTGCCTTCACACCATGCAAGTTGGTCTTATTTTTAACCAGCCATTGGCATAATTCCCCTTATTGGACCATAATGTGCAGCCTTCTTGAAATTAAAATGGAACTAACAGCTTAATTGGATTGCTTGTGCCCAACAGTTGCTGTTGAGTCAGGCTTCAGTACAAAGCATTCAGATTCAGTAAGTTGTTAGGATATTCCACTGGGCTGTTTTGTTGGCGCACACAATTTTCCTGTGAATTTGGAATGGGGCACTGGCATTGTATGGCTTGATAATTACCACTGGACCTGGAAAGACTGGTGTGGCAGCTGAAATGCATGCCTGACAATTCACTATCACATTCCCTAACCTGGTGCCCTTTGTAGGTACCCAGCTCCTCTGGATCCATCCTGCAATGGTTCCCATAGTCCCATTGCCAGTATAGGTTATCATGGGGAAAACTGCTGTAATGCACATAGATCTGTTTACAAGATGCCCATTTCCTGAGTTTGAATTAGTTCTTTCTCGTTTGAAAATTGAGTTATGGAAAGAGGACAAACTTGTTCCTTTTCACATGCCATGCCTTCAATGTCAATGGAAAATATTAGAAGCTGATCTAGAAGTTTTTTGCCTTTCCCCTGTGCTAGCAGAATGTGCATTTTAGGCATGAACATGGCCTTTTTTATTTAATGTATTTTATACTACCTTTCGAAGAAGACGTTTACTTCTTGGGAGGAGAGCAGTGACCAATCTTGATAAAACAGTAAAGAGTAGAGACATCACACTGGCAACGAAGGTCCACATAGTTAAAGCAATGTTATTCCCCATAGTAATCTATGGGTGCGAGAGCTGGGCCATAAGGAAGGCTGAGCGAAGGAAGGTAGACACTTTTGAACTGTGGTGCTGGAGGAAAATTCTGAGAGTGCCTTGGACTGTGAGAAGATCTAACCAATCCGTACTCCAGGAAATAAAGCCCGACTGCTCACTGGAGGGAAGGATATTAGAGGCAAAGATGAAGTACTTTGGCCACATAATGAGAAGACAGGAAAGCTTGGAGAAGATAATGATGCTGGGGAAAATGGAAGGAAGCCAACCAAGGGCAAGATGTATGGAAGTTTTCCTTGCAGCCACTGGCTTGACCTTGAAGGAGCTGGGGGTGGCCATGGCCAACAGGGATTCTGGCGTGGGCCGGTCCAGGAGGTCACGAAGAGCCAGAAGCAACTGAACAAATAAACAACAAAGCCCACATTTCCACCAAATAAATACAGGCATTTGCTAATTATAACCAACACAATAATCAAGAAGCCTCAACATGACTTAAATGGGTAGATAGTCCAAGATAGTATTTACACTCATCTTTAAAGCAGTGAACATGGAACAGTTCACTGTTCTGAGATCAATGCATTCCTCAGTCAACAAGTAACACAGGAGAAACCTTCCTCTGTGTGTTCTTCAAGTAAACCTTCAGCCAGCAATGATGATTCATTTTCAAGAGGGCCTTTTCTAAGGAAAACAGACAGCCCTCCACATTTGCGAGTTTTTCTTTCCCAGATTTGATTATTTGTGAGTTTGTACCAGCTTCTTAACTAACTCAATCTTCTTGCTCCATTCCTTGTATTCCAGCCTCTCTCCATCTCCTGTACTCTCCCAAGATCCACTGGCTCACCCCACTGCTTCTGAGAGGAGAAAACTGGAGCAGGAGTGGTGTGAGCTAGTGGATGACCAGGAGTAGCTTTAAAAGGTGGTCAAGGTGTCTTTGGAATGGCAAGATGGCAATTTTGGCCGGACAGGAGACATGGAGGAGAAGCTGGAGCACAGACTAGCAAGGGGTTTGGCAAGGAATGGGTTTCTCAGATCAGCATGAAAAGCTGGCTGAGGCTTCAAGGCAGTCAGGTCAGGGCTCTTGGTGGGAAAGAAGTCAGTAACATGTATGCTGGGGAGGGATTACACTTTTTAACTTTTGTGGGGATCTTGCTGAGTGTACTTGACCCATAATGCCTTGCCATAATGAAGTCTGAACCCCTGGAGGCTAAGGATTTTCCACTTGGCAATCTGAGGCAACTTACCAGTTTTAGGGCAGACCCCCTGCCTCCGCCCCCTTCCAAGCATGTGTCCAGGTTTGTGGCATAGCAATTAGAAGGTACAATTTAGTCTCTAAGGAGATGGATCTGTTCTGACCCGATAACTGAAGAATTAGATAGCCCCACTAGCAAATTTAAAGTAATATTAATGATGGCAAAAATCCATGGGAAGCAAATTACTTCAGTGGGTGTAACGAGTTCAGATATGTGGTGCAAGCCTCAAAATTGAAGAGAGTATAATATCAAGAGCTATCTGTAGCAATAACCAAGCCAGCTCTGGCCCTTAAGACAGATAAGCTTTCTCTTTTAAATTGCAAGGGAACACTGTGGTTCTCCAGTTTTAAAGGTGGGCCTGGAAGTAAATTATCTTCTGATTGGGACAACGTCTCCACCTGTTTCATAAAACCCTAAGCTAACCATTTATAGGCCCCCAGAATATGATCTTAAATTCTTCTTGCATTAGTTATATGATCCAATTCGTGTGTTTTTATTTGACTATAAATCATTTCAGTGTGATATGTATGTTAGATAAAGTTTTTGGCAAATAAAAACTCAACTGCATCAAAGCATCGATATGGGTTTCATCTCATCCATTTCTTACTTCATATTTCCCATGACACTTCCTGGGGTTGAAGCCTAGGTGAGAACCTTTGGGACTCTCGTTTTAAGCTCTGCCATCGCTTGAAGTCTATCAAATTGGAAGAAAATGTTTATCAGAATAGAATCAAGCTACAAGGCTCCATCCCCACCCAACCACTCCATGCTTTTTCCATATGGCTAATGGAGACGCCCAGTCATAAAAAGATCTCCGTGACTCTATGGCAACTCTGTGTATTCCCACTGTTAAACTGCTGAACTTAATTGTTTTTATTGGAGATCACCAGTTTTTTTGTGGGGGGAGCAGAGAGGAGAAAGCCCCAAGTACCGGTGTGTACAGGAAAATATTAATCACCAAATTAGCGCCGTCTTTGCTTGCCAACCTTGACCGCTTTCTCTGCTTTCCACAGTGACGCTAATAGAGACACTGTTCTCTGGAGCGCCAGCCATGGCTCTCTGCTACTTTTTAATGCCTTCTGACTTACCTTGGCCAAAATACATACGTTCCCTGCCAAAACCAACCACATACTACTGTTCACTTAGATGTTGAGGCCTCTCACGTCCTTTTCAGACCTCCAGTAGACCTTGGAAATCAGAAATTGGACATTGTTATTTTTTCCTTTTGACCTTTTGAATCAATGATGGCAAAGCAACAAGTTCTGTTGGAGCTTCAACAGCAGAAACACAGAAGCAAGATTTTCTTGGATTGTCCCTAGCTGAGGGTTTGGACTTCAAATTGGTCACGGGCCTCTTGCTAGAAAAAATATGAAAAGAGGTTGCTTCAGTTTGAGGGAGAGCGATTTCTAAACTGTAGGCAAACTTTCTGTGAAAGACTATACAGAATTCACTAATGCCCACCACTATGAACATTTTGTGTTTCAACAGAGGTCTTGTGGTGGAATTTGGTGAAACCATTCTAAATTAAAACTCTTGATTGTAATTATCAAGAAAGAGTCAAAGGAGATGAAGAAAAATGCTTACCCAATCTTGTACATAGAATAGAATAGAATAGCTTTCCCCAGCACACATGGAAAAACAACATACACATTCCTTAATCATTTCAACATTTCAAGATACTTAAATCTTATTTGTTGAATCAAATATATTAATTCACATGGTGGAATCTATTCCAGACAAGATGGTCAGGGTGCTGCTCCCATAAGCTGCGTGACTTCCGGTGATCTAGTGAGACATAAGCTTGCTAAAATAATAAAACTCTGCATTTGTAACAACTACCCAGTCATATATGTAGCATTCAAAGACTTACTCATGTAAGTTTGGAATATTAGGAATTTTATTACACTTTTGAGACTGGGTGATAGAAGTTGGTAGTATAACCTTTTGTGGACTTAAGTTAGTCCCAAAGGCGCTACAGAGTCCCATGTGCTGATAGTCCAGAGTAACACAACCATGTATTTGAATTCAACACACATGATTCAACTAACTACCTCTACATTTTAGATTGTTACTGAGTGCACCCTGGGAAACACCATCAATAATGTTTTCCAGTATCACCAAAAAAAAAAAAATTCTAATCTGTGCATATTCCTGTTAAAATACCATGGGTCATGGAGACCATACAGCAAAATTATAGCAGTTTGATACCACTTTAACTGGTGTCCATCCTATGAAAACCTGAGTTGTAGAGTTTGTTGTGGCAACACAGCACTCTGAGGGAGAAGTGTAAATACTGCACAATTGGCAAATCCCAGCATTCCATAGCATTGAGCCATGGAAGTTACTGGTGTCAAACCTCTATAATACTGTAGTGCGGGTAAGGTCATAGTCATATTCTGATATGCCATTTCTGTTGGTGGTTGGAGTCAAAAGAATATTTAAGGGTCACAGATTTTTGCAGTCCTGTCCTAAACAATGCAGTGACTAGGAAATGTGCACAAAAGGGTTTTACTGCATTCATGCCTTACTTGGGGGCTTCCCATAGGTAACACACTGGTGATTGGTGGTCAGAATTCTGGGCTAGATGAATCCTTGTTTAAAATGTCCAGAATCTGATGTTTTTCATGCGTGTACAAATTCTGTTCTCTGCATCTCTTGTTGGGTTGCAGTTAGTAAATCAAATACCATCAGTGTGGAACTGGACTTTGTTCTACTATTGACGTATTTATCCACTTTTTATTTTCTTTGCAGGATAAGTTTCTTATTTTCTTTGGCACTTCCACTGTGATCATATTGCCAAACAGTGATAATGTGATTTGGACCCACATTGCACATCTGGTATACGTAGTAGCTAAAAAATAGCACTGAGTGCCTTCCATCAGTTTCAGAAGGAATGAGAGAAGAAATTCACATCAAGAATGGCAGTTGATGAAAGAGAACACGTAGAATAGTTGCCTCCGCTCCTTATTTGAGAATAATTACATTAAGGGGTAACCTAACTGTTGACTCTAGAATAAACCAAGTTACAAGAAAACTGATTTTTCCCCAAAACCCTCTATCTCTTGTACCTGTAAAGTAGGAGAGTGCAGTGTGTGGCTTTCCAGATGCTGTTGGATTGCAACTCAGCCAGTGTAAACAATCTTAGGTGATGGGAGCTGTCCTAGAGGGCCACAAGTTGTTCATTCCTGCTGTAGAGCAGCCATAGAAAAACTCATTTGATCATCCTAATTATGTTTGCTGAATAACATCAATTTCTCAGCTCTAAAGCTTTTCCTTAAATGTTTTTTTTCTGGGAGGGGATATTTTATTTAGCAGAACATTGGGCTTTGAGTGAGGTTTTATTATGGACTTTAAACATTTCTCTTTCACAGGGTGTTCCTGTAATGGCCATAAGAAACAAAATGATCTCTGAGGGGTTAAATCCAGATCTCCTTGAGTAAGTGGCAACTTCTTTTTAGTTTGAACGTTAGTTTCATTGAGGCCTGGTGGAGTTGGGGTTTGCAACTAGGAAGGGGGGGGGAAGCTTACCATATGTACTCATATAGTAGCCCCCGGTGGCGAATTAGGTAAAATTGCTAAGCTGCTGGATTTGCTGACCAAAAGGTCAGCGGTTCGAATCCAGGGAGCAGGGTGAGGTCCCACTGTTAGCCCCAATCTAGCAGTTCAAAAACATGCAAATGTGAGTAGTTCAAAAGGTACTGCTCCAGCGGGAAGGTTCCATTCAGTCATGCCGGCCACATGGCCTTGGAGGCGTCTACAGATGATGCTAGCTCTTTGGATTAGAAATGGAGATGAGCACCACCCCCAGAGTAGGACACAACTAGACCTTTACCTTTATATACCACTGTGAATTAGGGGCAGCCTTTAGGCCAGAATTATGGATTTTGACATGACCTGTGAATAAGCCATGGGTCATACTGCTAAGATGTGGAAGTTCAGCATCAGTTGTAGGGGCACTCACTTCCCGCATTTCTCTGCACAGGCATTAAAACAAAAACAGAAGTGGATGGCAGTGGAGAGAATAAAGGAGCTTGATGCTTCTTTTAGGTTTTTCCAGGATGCTACTCAAAGAAAGGGATGATAAGAGTCAAACAACAGTATTAACATTGTATAAGCCATTACAGGTGTGGGTATTCAATTTCTTGACTAACATTTCTAGACTTCTATACATTATGTTGGGTTTTTTTTAGAAGTTTCAAGAGAACCTTGAAAATCGAATTAAGATAGACTTCGAATAAGAAATATAATTTAATCCCTTCCAGGGGAAAATTTAAATTATGTGGGAAACGTCTTGCATTATCAGCCTGAAGAAGCTGTGCTTCCTCTCTCAGGAGATGCAAATCTTGTACAGGAATCCTAACTAGATTACTAGCTGAAGCCCTGTACAGGGAGAGATCTACTCCTGTGCTATGGCAGCTCCACTGGCTGCCAGTCTGTTTCCAGGCTAAATACAAAGTGCTGGTTATTACCTTTACAGCCCTAAAGGATTCAGATCCAGGCTATTTGACTGACTGCATCTCCACCTATAAAGAAACCCGGGCACTACAGTAATTGGATGAGGCCCTGCTCTCATTCTGACCCCTATCTCAAGCACGGCTGGTGGGATTGAGAGAGAGAGGCCCTTCTCCCCAGTCACCCTCCTTCTCTGGAACTCCATAAAGAAATAAAGCTGCCCTCCTCCTTTCTCTTCTTCAAAAAACAGCTGAAAACCTATCTTTGCTCACAAGCATATAGAGAGGAGGAGGAGGAGGGTTAGATGAAGAGAAACTAGTACCAGACAGTTGATTGGATAGTATAAATGCACTTGAGCCTTTTTAGATCACGTTAGCCCATTTCACAACTTTGGCCTTGCAATGTATGCACACATTTGTGAACCTTCAAGTTGTTTTGATATATTACATTGGATGTTTTATGTTTAAGTTCTATGTTAGTTATAATTTTCAATTGATTATGTTTCATTTAAATTATAGTTGTTATGCTGAAGTTGCTATTTATGTGGTGTTTTCTTGGGTTTTTATATTTGCATTTAATGTTATTGAGGCACTGAAAGTTTGCCTTTTTTTTGTTGGAATCCGCCCTGAGTCCCCCAGGGGAGATAGGACGAAATATAAGTAAAGTTTCATTATTATTTATTATTGTAACTCCAGTGTAACCTTATCTCACATTTACAGCCTCCTTGCACACTCTTGCGTATTTTACACCTTATTGGCCCTTTTCATACAGTTGGTGCAGGCATTCTCTAGAAAAAAACAGTGTTTCTTAGTTGTGAATTATTTTAATGTATTTTTTTTTTTGCTGTGTTGCTACTGTGGGCTAATGCAACTACTCTTCCAGAAGCTCTTAAAGTCTGACACTTAGTTTTTATGTCTGTTGGCATTCTAAACTATGGAGTTGTGATTTCTTACTTTTCCCTTTCAGCACACCAGATGCTGCAGTGCCTGGTTGGGAAGATGAAGCAAACGCAGAGGAATCCTCTGACAGCGAATGCTCCTTTAGTGACTAGAGGCTTTGGGATATGGGGTTTTGTAGGGTGTGTGCATCCATGATTTTTCTTCAGAGGCCCTTCTCAAACTTCATTTGTGAGTACTTAATCTGAAGGATTGCCAGGTGGCTTAATCCAGATCAAGTATTCTTTAAGAAAGAATAATGTTGCACTGGGATCTTCTCATTGTCTTCCAGAGAGTTTTAAATGGAGGCCCCAGTCACTGCTAAAGGGAGGCTGGCAGGATGTGCACTGAAATTCACTGTGTGGTGGCCTTTACTTAGATTGTGGTTGTTCCAAGAAAGCTCAGGGTGAAGTTAAGGTGTGAGAGGGACTCATATTCATGTGTATTCTGTCACTCAGACCATTCTTTGGGCAAAACCTTGTAAATTACCTCAAAATGTTTTGGCTTTCCCCTCCATATGGCTAACTAAATGCTATGTATTATTTCTTGCATTGTGTTCCTTCATTATTGAATTGGAATTCAAACTTCAATTTGCATATATTGGGATAAATATTTGTTTGTCCCAGTAATTTAAGACATAGGCCTAAAGAAGAAGAGAGGAGCTTGGTGGTTGTTTGAAACTAACCAATCTTTATTCTGAGAGATGAAACTGCTACACAAAAATGCTGCACTGTTTTTCCCATTGTCTAGGTTTTTGCTCTTAAGGTAACGTAGCAGAAAAAAAAAATCTGCCTTTTGTATCACTGCCAGCCAAGTCGACAGGAATCCAATGGTATTTCAGTGTCTGGTGTAGCATTTCTTGTTTCTTGTTCATCCATATTACAATACAGCCAAGAAAAAAAGATTCAGGTTGCTTATAGGGGGAAAACCTTATTTTCTTAGGGATTTTTAGTATAGTAAAGCAAATATTTCTGTGACATAGCATTTGAAAGGTTGCTGCAACCAAACTGCTTACACACAAGACCTACTGCTTATTTCAAAACAAATGAGTTACATGATAAAGAGATCCATTGTTAGGTTTTCAAAGTGAATATGTGTTAATGGGTGGGGAAAGAATTGGAAGGAGCCTTGGCGATCAAATACTATATAAAGGAACCTAAGTAAATTTTCGACATTTTGTTCCATCCATACTACACAAATATAATGTTCTGTGTCCATGACAACTTTGCTTAGGCGATCCTTTGTAGCCTGGGGATGATGGTCCTCCAAGTGTAGTGTCTTGGTGATGGGTTCGTAGGTGGCTGTGGGGCCCTATTCTTGATCCACATGTTCTCCCGCAGTGAGGACATCGGATTCCAGGTAGAAAGCGGTCCCAGTCAGGGTTGGCCTGACGTGCCTTCCTCTTGGCACGTTTCTCTCTCTCACCCTCCATTCGTGCCTCTTCGAATTCTTCAGCACTGCTGGTTACAGCTGACCTCCAGCTCAAGGGCAAAGGCTTCCCAGTTCCTAGTGTCTATGGCACAGTTCTTAAGGTTGGCATTAAGCCCATCTTTAAATCTCTTTTCCTGACCACCAACATTACGTTTCCTGTTCTTGAGTTGGGAATATAGTAACTGCTTTGGGAGATGATGATCAGACATTCAGACAACGTGGCCAGTCCAGTAGAGTTGATGACGTAGGAACATGGCTTCAGTGCTGGTGGTCTTCACTTCTCCCAGCATGCTGACATTTGTCTGCCTGTCTTCCCAAGAGATTTGCAGGTTTTTTTGGAGGCAACACTGATGGAATTGTTCAGGAGTTGAGTGTGACATCTGTAGACTGTCCACATTTTATAGGCATATAGCAGGGTTGGGAGGTCAATAGCTTTATAAACAAGCACCTTGGTCACCCTACAGGTGCCCCAGTCCTCAAACACTCTCTGCTTTATTCAGAAAAATGCTGCACTCGCAGAGCTCAGGCAATGTTGTATTTCTGTGTCAATGTTGACTTTTGTGGAGAGGTGGCTGCCAAGGTAGTGGAAATGGTCAATATTTTCTAATGCCAATATTTTCTAATGCCATGCCAACACCCTGGGGGAGTTTAGACTCATAGCTGGAGAAGGAACTGAGGATCTCAGATTGAGAGTTTCAGATTTTTCTCCTTAAACTGCAAATCCCAGGATTCCATGGGATATCCCCTTGGAAGTTAAAATGGAATATAGGACTATAATTGAGGTGATTTTCACTGGTGATCTTAAGTTGCCTTAAGATGACTTCATATTGTACTCTTTGAGCATGCTTTAAATGTACACATATGGATCCCATTTGCCAAACCAATAAGCCAGAATTCTAGAAAATCCTAAAATTCACAACTAAGAGCACTGCCTAATTCCTCCTGCTTGGTCTTTCTTACCAACAGAAGTGGCTTCAATCACTTTGGACTCGCTAGGATTAGCACTACGTACATCTGAGCAAATATTTCAACTCTCTTGCTGCTATGAGAAGCCAGATTTTGAAGAAGGATCTCAGGTTGAGATCAGAGTCCTGTCTTGTTTGGAAATAAGACAGGAGACTGTTATGGGCATAACAGTAAGGTTTTTTTTGTTCCTGATAGGTCCTTGATTGTTTTCGTGGGAAGAACCAAAGAGTGTGATCAGGGGAATATGTATTAGCGTCCCTGTAAACCATAGGATTCTCCCACGCAAACACAGGGACACTAGGGAAAGGATACTAATACTATGTATAGAAGAAGCTGCACTTGACCATGAATTCCTCATGCATCTACATATGGCAGATAGCTCTGTGTACATCTCACGCATCCTTTAGTTGTTTACCTTGTATCTATCTGTTGCTACTTTCCTAGTTGGCCTCATCACATTGCTACTCAGCTATTTCCAATTTGCTTTGTGTATGCTAACTATACGTTATGTACAACGAAAGCCAAGATGGCCATTGCCCATAAGTGTTCAGTTTGAAGTTGAGCCATGAGGGGTCAGGGATTTATGGTTCTCGGGTCAGAAAAGTTCCTGCTGCAGCTGCAAAGTCAAATCTCACACCATTTTTCTGGTTAAGACAAGACATTCCAGGGCATTTCTTTAAGTCTGAAAATATGAACTGTTTTGGAATAGATCAAGACAACTTCTTTCAAGCAACAAATCTAAGAGTTGAACTTGTATCTAGATTTTTTTTCATTTAAAAATGCAACTTTCATAAACCATATCTGTTTGTCAGCCTGAAATTACTTACAGTAGTTAATTTCTTGTTACCGATGCTGCCTAATAATACAAATATTGTATACACTCTGAACTTGATCCTCTATATTTGAAAAGCATGCATCCATAATTAAAGTTATCTTTTGTAAAGCAAACTTGTGGTTTTTTTATCCTACATGTAGATGCAAATATTGGAGTAATCTGAAACAGCACATCTTTATTTTTAAAGCCTTTTTCTAATTTGTTTGTTTAAAAATAGATAGTCCACTTTTCTACTAAGAGTGACCTTTCAATGGGCTTGCTGTAATAAAGGAAATAGGACAAAAAAAATCTGTCAGAAGTGACTTGAAAAACTGCAATCACTTCTGGTGTGAGAGAATTGACTGTCTGCAAGGACATTTCCCAGGGGACACCCAGATATTTTACCATCCTGTAGGAGACTTTTCTCATGTCCCTGCATGGAAAGCTGCAGCTGACAGACGGGAGCTCACCCGGCTTCCCAGATTCAAACAGCTGACCTTTTAGTCAGCAGTCCTGGCAGCACAAGGGTTTAACCCATTGCGCCACCGGGGGCTCCAACAAAAATCATAATAGTCTTTTTTTTAAAAAAAAATCCCCCAACAGATGCACGATTCCCAAAGGCCAACAACTTTAAGTACAGCAAAACCAAGTAACATAGGATTCCTAGCTGCTCTGGCATTGTTAAGAAAGTTGCACACAACACTAGAGTTCTTTAGCAGAGCCTCTAAGAACCTCTCCACTGGACCAAAAACCCAGCATGGAACCATAGCAATTAAGAATGTTCTCATATACAATTTCCACATCAAATCATAGAGTTGGAAGATACCTCGTGGGCCATCCAATCCAACCCCCTTGCCAAGAAGCAGAAAAATTGCATTCAAAGCACCCCCAACAGATGGCCACCTAGCCGTTCTTAATGTAATCCTCAAAACATTGTGCAGTTCCTCTGTCTTTGACTGTATTGTGTGTCACCTTCTCAACAGATTCTTTTGTGATAAGGAAGCAGATTGAGGAGATTATTGGAAAATCTAGGAAGCTAATAAACAGAAGACCAGTGTGTCAAAGCCCAATAAATCTTGAGTATCAATGACATGACATAACTGGAAGCATCATTTGTTCCAGCGTACTGAGAAATCTAATGGACAACAGCATCCACTTACACGAAATAAGTCCCTTTTCTGATCTGGTGTTTCTTCAAGATTGATGGCTCCTAGCACACAGGGACACTAGGGAAAGGATACTAATACTATGTATACTCAATAAGAAGCTGTACTTGACCATGAATTCCTCATGCATCTACATATGGCAGATAGCTCTGTGTACATCTCACGCATCCTTTAGTTGTTTACCTAAAGGGACAGGAAAGCCTAGAGAAGACAATTATGCTGGGGAAAGTGGAAGGCAAAAGGAAGAGGGGCCGACCAAGGACAAGATGGATGGATGGCATCCTTGAAGTGACTGGACTGACCTTGAAGGAGCTGGGGGTGGTGACGGCCAACAGGGAGCTCTGGCGTGGGCTGGTCCATGAGGTCACGAAGAGTCGGAGACGACTGAACGAATGAACAACAACAACAAGCACTACCACTGAACTAGTCATTATGTCATGGTGCCATTCTTATACTTTTCATCTTACAAATTGGAAGCAGCTGCAGATGGAGAACTAGCACCTCCTAAAATTCGATGAATTGGACAGGAGAACTATACAATAAAAAATTCACCTAAATGAATCCTGGTAAGATTTTAGGAAAATGCTTTTTTTTTTACCCAATGCAAAGATCCATTTGGGATTTGTCAATGTTCTTCTACTGGTTCTCTGCATCCCACCAGAAACATGGAAAAGTTGGTTTTTAGGGCTAAAGTCACCAGAATATACCAACTGGCAGAGACACTTGCTATGCTAGGTAGTGGATCGTGAGAGCTTTAATATACTAAAAAATAGTCTTAGGGTTAGTTGCCACCCTAGACAACCCCTTCCCATCCTCACTGGAAAGAGCCCTACTAAAACTGCTTGAAATTACCACCCAACGAAAGGGAAGTGTGAACTAATATAAATCTCAGCCCTGCGCGATGGTCAACAGCAAATAGCAATAAAGAATGACCCAGATGCAGATGTTTCCCATATGTTTTAAAATTACAAGCCAACACATCTGACATCTCAAGCAAATAACCAGAAGAAAGACACTGGACTGTTACAGAACTAAGTTTGGGGATTTATAGTATACAAAGCTCACACTTTGTTTCCATCTGCCTGTCCTCATCCATAGTTCACCAGTGCTGTACTATAGTCTATATAAATAAAAATGTAATTTTCATTTGTGGGATTAACATAACTTA